GTGAGTGTGGCTGTCTCCTGGCCAAGCAGGTCCCAGTGAGACAGACTCCACAGGTGTCACAAGATACCAGAGAAGGAAGAGAAAAGCTCAGCTCCTTCAGACTGGGGGCAAGGGGCAGGGTTGGAGGGTCCAGGCCCCAGCTCCTTAGTATGCACCCAAAGCCCAATCACATCCACTGGGTCAGGGGTCACTGTGTCCAAACTGCCATGAGGTGTGACAGTCCCACTGGGGGATTCTTCTCTGGGGGGAGGGTTGGGTTTTCACTGCCACCCTCGGGAAGATCACCCACAGGTTAGTATTTGAAAAAAGAGGAAAGGGAAGGGCCTCCATCACTTCCCTACCAGGAGACCCCTCGGGTCCCAGAAACATCCATACCCTCATCACCCTTTACCCCCTGGAGGGTAGCGGGTGCTTTTTTAGCCCTGCAACTATGGGTCCAGAAAGGCCATTTTGGAGTGACTTGAGACCCAGGAGGGTCAGGCAGCCCGAGGCTGCTCCCAGCAGCCCCACTTACACCAGGAGGTGCTCCATCATCAGGGGCCACGTTGTTCTGAGCAATCTGAGACCCAGGGTTCAGTGACTTGCTCACTCAAGTTCATTCAAAACACTGGGTCTGAGTCAGGACCAGAATCCAGCTGCAGTAGATCTGGGGTGCCTTTCCTGGGGGAGTTAAGGGTTTCATTAGAGCCGGCATGTCAGAGGCCTGACTTGGTCCACAACAGGGCAGCTGTCGCTGAGGATGGGCTCCCAGCCCTTGGGGAAAGACACCCGGACCTGCCCCTAAGGCCCCCAAGGCCAGGCAGGGCCCTGAGGGAGCCTCTTCTCTTGTAGTTATGATGAGTGTATGGGACCGGGTGCCACCCAGCTGTACATCCCCACGGATGCACCACCACCCTACTCGCTGACCGACTCCTACCCCGTGCTGGATGGCATCTTCGATGCGGGCAGTAGTCGTCACCAGCCGGCACTGAGGCTCCTGGGCCAGGGGGGCCTCCGCACCGTCTCCATGGATAGCCTGCCCCCTTATGAGGCTGTGTGTGGGATCAACCCCCCATCAGGTCTGCTGCCGCTGCCAGGACCAGAACCAGGGCCAAGGAGCCCCCAGGGCTCCCCCATCACAACCTGGGCCCTGGTCTCTGGCCCAGAAAGGATTCTGTGAGTGACCCAGCTAGCTAGGTCCTCCCGGTCCCTCGGGCTGAGCCACAAAGGGCGTGCGCACACACAGACACACACACACACATACACATACACACACACAAGGGCATGCACACACACACACAGATATGCACACACAGCACTCCCACATGCACACATATACACACAATTTGTACACACAGACATGCACACACAGCACTCCCACATGCACACATATATACACAATTGTACACACACATACACACTGACACACCCATGTGCACACACACACCCAGATTTGCACCACACATGTACAGACATGTGCATACACACAGCCCCTCCACATCCACACATATCCATCTGCTAAGGTTTCATTAAAAATGAAGCTTTCGTGACCTCCCGTCTCCTCCCCAGCCTATTGACTATGCCTCTGCAGACAATGCTGGGAGAAGACAGGTGGAGAAGGGACTGGAGCTTGCTCTTCCCTCTCCCTGGCCTGTTTGCCTCTGCCCTCACCTGGCAGGCTGTGCCCAAATTCTGATTCTGCCTCCAGAAACTGCTCGACCATCCCAGGTCAGCCGCCTGCCCCACCCACCGCAGGGCAGCGTGTCCTCCTGGCTGGTGGGACAGGCTTCAGTGAGGTTCAGCTACACACTGTACCTCTCCCTCAATTACAGGGCAGCCACAACATCACCACCCTGCCACTTATGGGGCAAGGGACACGGGTCTGGGGGCTCAGGCACAACCTGGAGGTCCTCACCACCCACCTTGCCCCCTCCCTAACCCAGCGCCCCCAGCCTGGTTGTGCTGGCGGAGTTATTTAGGAGGCCCCCACCCCAAGCGACAGGTGATAAGCAGTGTCCTTGGTGGGCATGCGGAGATGGTGGTGGCGGGTTACAGTGCTCCCTGTGTCAGTCCAAATACTGCCCAGGGCTGAGGGTCTTCAAAGAAGAGGAGGGTGGCCTGGGCGCAGCTCTGAGGCAAAGAAGTGGCCCTTTGCTAGGTGTGTGTGCCCAGCTGACTGTTACCACCCAAGTGCGGGCTGTCCTCCTGGGTGGCAGCTCCTGGTTGAGAACTGTGAGCCGATGTGTTCTGGCCCTGCCCTCCAGGGTGTTTGCAGAGACACAAGAAAGGGGAAGCGGGCCCCCTAAATACTAGCATGTCGCATCTGGGCCTCACTGCCAGGGGCTCCACAGAAGGGGATATATAGGCGTGCCTGCTCATAGAGTGGCCCACAAATCCCAGCAAATCCCATCAGAGACCACGCAAGTCACAGAGCTGATTTCTGAAGACCCAGCCTGCCAGAGGGGGCAGCCGAACATCTTTGCGGAATGTCCCGCCAGCATTGCCAACGGCAGGAAGTGGAACTTCGCCTTGAGTCCACCCTGCCCCCCCTCCCCCATCCACCCCCTACCCACATTCCAATTCCTCTAATGAAGGGCTAAGATATTTCAGTAATCCCTTTCTTGAGAAGGAGGGTATCCAGGATGGCAATCGTGAATTTTATTTTCTGTAGAAATAGGATTTCTTCTGGTGCAGAACTAAAAGGAATCCGTCCAGAGGTTCTGTGGCATCCTGGCACGCCCGACTCCACAGGAAAGGGACTTTGTTTACAAGCAGTTCTGTCCGCCTCTGTGGTGTACTGTTTTCTAGGCAAAAAATAACTGTCTGTTGTACTGTATAGCCTTTAAATGCACTCCAGGGATGGGACTCTTTTAAGAAATGCATCCTGCTTCTGCAACCCTAGAGAGTACTGGAGGGGAATAAAGATTAAAATCCCTAAGTACTCATCAGTGTTTGAGGGATGGAGCTAAACAGCTTTTCTTGTTCCTGGATTAAGCGCTACATAAGCAACAATGTATCTTTTCTGTGTTCAAAATAAATATATCATATCAATAAAAATGTTGCAAGAAATAACATTCTCAAAGAGTGCATGGACTGCAGGGGGAGGGTATGGGGGGGGAGAAGGGCTCACACCATCTGACAAAACATAAACAGCAGCAAACTGAAATATCTTATTTCTCTCAAGATGGGTAGCCGTGGAAGCGTTGTCACTTTCCCATTGACACGGATATTTGGGGACTCGGTGCCTTACACGAGTTCCTTTTTTTCTTAACCTCACTGAAACCCAGCATCCTTTCTCAGACTTGGCCAGCATAAATGTCACCAAGACGGACCATACGTTTTGGACTTGACTCCAGGAACATTAGGGACTGCACATTTCCCTTTCACAGCGGTTGAGTCTCAGCACCCTGATGGCTTCTTCAACTCCGAAAAACAGGGTGGGAGGATTCGTAATTGGACTGAAGTGAGTTGTTTCCTATCCCTTGCAAAGATTCTTTCCTGTGCTCTCCAGAAGACCCCAGCCTTGGTGGTTGATCCCTTGGCTGACAGAGGCTGCTTCTCTTCCTCTGTCATTCTTCCCTCACATTCAGACTCAAGTGGCATCCATCAGCATAGTCCTAGACTATGGAATGCCCTGAAAGCGGGGTCCAATCCTGAAGAAAGGTGCTGCGCCAGTCGCAGGTCCCAGCTCCTCGGCATCTACTCCAAGCCCATACTGCCACCTGCTGGCTGCCTGCTGCCACTGTTCAAAGCAAACAGGTCCACCGCTGGGGAGCCAGCACTTCCCTTCTCTCACTTCCAAACCTACTCACCAGGGACATTAGCAGTTGGGGACAGGACTTATTTGGGTTTTGAGCTGGTCTGCCACCCTTGCAATGTTCCATGAGGTTTAACCATTCAAGCAGTCCATTTTCAGGAGTCATTCCTGCTCCTCGGTTTCTCTCTCTGGGCACAACAGCCGGATGCCCTAAGCCCCTCTCCCTGTATACAAAATAATTACTCCTTTGTCCAAAACACCACCCTGTGTGCCTTGGGTGCCACCTCTGGGCTCTGGGGCCCTCTCACTGGGAATGAATGTAGCAGCCCTCATGGTGATCGTGTCCAGCCTCCTGCTGACTCCAACCTGAACCACCCCACGCCAACACCTAGTTCCAACAACACACGGAATACCCCTGGTCCAGGAAACTGTTGGGCTTGGCATTTCCTGCCTCCCCCACCCATGACACACCCTGTCCACATACGGTGACACAGGCAATGTCCTCCTGCACACTCCTACAGGGAAACTAGCCCCCTCTCTCTGCCAGGGCTTGAGGGGTGAGGCCAAAGAGCACACCCCCGGCAGTGGGCTCAGCCTGGGGCTCATTAGGAGATCAGAGGTGGCAATTCTCAGGATGGAGGGACCAGGAGGGGGCAGGACTAGACCCTGGGACAGGAGGAGGGTGCAAGGGGTTGATGAGGGAAGTGACCCGGGAAGCACCAATTGACAGGGGGCCGTGAAACAAGGAAGAGAAGGAAGCCAGTTCAGGGTGTGGTCATGCAGGTCCCCTTCCGAGGGGCATCAAGTGGAGAGCCTCACAGCCACCTGACAGGAAGGGGGGGTGGGGTTCTCACACCGGCTCTCAGACTCTCAGGGGTCATTGTTTGAGGCTGCCTTCGGAGAACATTAGCCCTGCCCCCTTGTGCAGCTGAGCGGACTTCCCTGGCCAGAGACAGTCTTCAGACAGGGGAGTTGCAGCTGCTGGCAGATAAAGCCATCGCCATGGTCAGCACGACCTGCCACTGGGCCAGTCCATGTGGGCACGGTGTGTTCCATGGTCTTGGACAGGGCATCAACAACATCTGCCTCACATGTGCAGCAGACATTCACCAGAGAGAGGAAGGAGGGTTGATACAAAGTATGGCTGCCCACAGCTGCTCCTGGGGACAATGACCTGGCCAAGCCCACCGGCACCTATACACACAGGGCTCTTGCACACCAAGTTCCTCGCGACACCCCCAGACACACCCCCAGCTCACCCTACCTGTGGTTGTATATACGCTTGTACAGGGGTCCCACATGCACACTCCAAGGCCACCCACTCAGTTCAGGTGTCACTGCCAGTGTCCATCCGATGACCGACCAGGTTGTGGGCACAAACAGTGAAAGGACGGGCAGCTTCGTTGTGTGAGACAGCAAATCTTCTGTCCTGCGCTCTGCTTGACCTCACATTGAACCTCTCAGGTCAGGTGAACTCTCTTAGTCAGAGCCAATCACCTGGGTCAGGCCGAGTATTTCCGGGCTACGGGCTGGGCACGCCCTTGCCCGTAGGGTTGTAGCCCAGCTGTGCCTGCTCAGCTTCTCTCCTAGGAATCCCAGGGCTCCAGGTGCCAAGACCCTGTGGTCACAGCCCAGCCATGCCACACAGACCACCGCCACACACACACACTGCCCCCCCCCCCCACCCCCCACCACCAAACCCCAAAAGTCCTGGGGCTGCCCAGCCTTCTGCTCCATAGCTTGTGGCTGCCTGATCCACGGCCCATCACAGAACTGGTATGACCTGGATTACAGGGTAAGAGAGGGCAGCTTTCGAAAGGGGAACCCTCTACCCCCTGGCAAACTCTGAGCACCATCACCCACCCCCATGACTCCATTGCAAGAGACAGAAACCCAATTTGAACCTTTACTTAAGCAAGAAAAGATATGTATTGGCTCACATAACTAAATTGTCTAAGTGACAATTCTGACTTCAGGCATGGCCAGATCCAGGAAGTCCAAGAATATGGGCAGGGGTGTCATCTCTCTTGGCTCTGGTGCCCACCTTCATCCTCCCACAGGAGCGATGGCTGTGGGCGCCGCAGGTCTACGTTGGCTGGCTCATGATCCAGCCTCAAGGGGCTCTGACATCTCCTCCTCCCAGCCCTTCCCTTACTGTGTGTCTGAACCAGCCTTGCCAGACTCGGGGCCCAGGGTCGGGCTCAAGCTGGTTCTTCTCTAGGTAGTGGGCCCGGGGACGGGGGGAGTTTGTGGGCTGGACAACTAGCAAGAACATTCAGTTCAATTCTGATGGAAACAGATTCCTCCCTGGGTATCATGGCCTTGAGGATGGTAAGTGCAGAGGTCCAGACCTGGGAGCCCCAGACCAAACAGCATCCACCCCTGTTCTCCTTGTGGCCTCTGAGCTCCTAGGCTTGGCGGGGGACTCGGGAGCCTTTGCACTGCAGGGACAGCCGTGAGGGAAGGCTAGGTGTGTGGGCCCACTTCTGTCACCAGCTCATTATGTGACCTTCAGCCAGATCCTTTCCTTCTCTGGGCCTCCAGGACCAGCCCCCCAACATATCTCCAGTGCTCCCCTCACCTCCCTCTGCCCCCTGCACTGTCAGCAAAGTTAAGTCACCCTGGCAGGCAGAGAAAGCAGGTTCTAAGTCAGTTACTCCCCGAGGGCCCAGAAAGTGCAAATACAAATCCCATAGGCCAAGAGGCTGCAGAGGCCCATTGGGGAGGAAGCAGGCACTGGCGGGGCAGAGCTGCCCCAAGTGCGAGAGCACAGAGCGGAACTGGCCGGCACCAGGCCCAGCCCTCCCCTTCGTCATCTGGGTCCACCCTGGAGGCACTTTGGCAATGGCGTTCTTGGAGAGCCTAGGGGCAAGGTGTGCAGAAGGTGTGAAGTGGTTCCATCAGGAAGCAACTAAAAGGGGGTGTGGGTCACGGCTGTGGGGATTAAATCCTGTGTACCAACTTGTTAAACTTTGGCTGTGAATAGGAAAACAGATAGCGGCCACTCCAGCAAATCTGCCTGAGGCCAAGGAGAAAGACAGAAACAGAGACAGAAAGACAATGAGAATTAAGACTCCGGTTCACACACACCCAACACACATACAGACACACCACACACACCACCACCGCCTCCGCCGCCACCACCGCCTTCCTTGGTCCGGTGACTGCCTCTTTAGCACAACTCAGTGGACTGCTACTCTGCATATCCTCTCCCCCAAATCTGCCATTCCCATTCAGTGCTCTTATAAATCTTTGGTATCAAGGAAAAAGCATGGCCTTGGGCTTCAGAGAGTTTGGGTGTGGTAGACTGTGTCCTCCAAAGGTGTCCAGGTCTGACGCCCCAGAACCTGGCAAGATGTTGCCTTCCACGGCAAAGGCACTTTGCAGGTGTCATTAAGGACCTTGAAATGAGGCGATTATCCTGGTCATCCAGGTGGGCCCAATGTGATCACAAGGGCCCTCACCAGAGGGGAGGCCACAGGGTCAAAGTCAGAGAAGAGATGACAAACTGAAGTGGCATGAAGAGAGAAATGAGAGATCTACACCCACTATACTCCAGAAGAGTGTAGCCGGAGCCATTTTCAGGCAGTACTCCAATTGGGAAGTGTCTTCCCAACCACAGGGACAGGAATCACCCTGGCCCCTGAGCTCAGGGAAGACTGCTCCCTGTCTCCAGCTCTCCTGCCTCCTGCAGTCACATAGAAAGAAACCTGAGGATCAAGAATGCTCAACTGTGTGGGGCACATGGGTGGCTCAGTCGGTTGAGTGTCTGACTTCGGCTCAAGTCATGAGCTTGCAGTTTATGAGTTCGAGCCCTTCTGTGCTGACAGCTCGGAGCCTGGAGCCTGCTTCACATTCTGTGTCTCCCTCTATCTCTGCCCCTCTCCCTGCTCTGTCTCTGTCTCTCTCAAAACTGAAAAAACATTAAAAAAAAATTTTTTTTTAATGCTCGGTTGTGTTACTACGAGGTCACAACACCCCCTCGGGTGGGGTTCTCCAGGCTGTGAGCCACCCAAGGACAGGGACTTTATCTCATTTGCTTCTGAAGCCCCCAGGCTGGCATGGACCCGGGACATAGGCTGGCTGCTCAAGGATAGCACTTCCCCGAAATAGCACAGGAGAACATGAAAAAGCACCCAGCGTCTAAGAAGTTGGGAGATCGTACACATGCTGCTCCCTCCCAGAAACTCACACCTGCTCCATGAGAAGCCCTGGAGCCAAGAAGCCGAAGGACCTTAATTAAAGCAGCAGAATTTATTTGGCCACAGGAAACTGTTACTCCCATAAGACTGATTACAAACCCCAACAAGTGCTCCTTGTGGAGCACACTTTGAGAAATGCTGACCCACATGGAAGGAGTGAGTCACCGAGTGGCTGAATGAGTGAATGATGACTTAATTAAGTATTGGGTGAATGAAAGGAAGGAAGGAAGGGAGGGAAGAAAGCTGAAGGGAAGGAAGGAAGGAAAGCAGGTAGGGAGGGTGGGGGAGAAGCCTGGCTCTAAATATTGCTCCTCACTCATATCTCCTCCCCAAATTCACTTTGCCCTGGAAGGGGCTCAGATAGTGGGGGTGAATCAGGATCCTAATGGGTGCTTCCCTATTTATACCTGGGTCTGTACTGAAAGGGAAAATCCTGTTGTTTCTTTAATCTGCTTCCTCCTTAGAGAAGGCTGGGGTATGATGGTATGATGAGGGAGATTCTAGCATGATCCCCACTCCTCCAGGGCCATAGGGCATAAATGGCATCTCAAGTCTGAGAATAATAAACAGTGAACTGTATATTAAAAAAAAAAAAAAAAGATGGAAAAGGTGGGGAGGGATGGAGATTATTTGTCTCTGTTCCTCCAAAGCAGTCCCAGGATTTGTGTGCCCATCATCTGGGAGGCGATCCTGGGAAGCACACGAGGAGTCGGGAATTAAAACAAGGTGGGAGAAGAGCCAACGGTGTGCATTCATGAGCAGGTTACTGCAGTGGGCACCTGGGGCGGATCCCACTGGGGACCCCCGAGAGCGTGGAGGACACACCCCAGAACTGTCCTGGCCGGGGCAAGAAGCTGGGGCTTCTATCCACCCACCCTCCTTGGTGTTAACACCCTGGCACTTGGAGCCTGTCCCGCACACCAGCAGAGCACACTCCTGCAGCCAGAGAACCTTCTCCAGCGTGAGGCAGAAGGAGCCTTAAACGGTGGCACCCCAAGCGGGCTGAGGGGTTGTGGGCTGGCATGCAGCATCCGCTGCAGAGGGGTGTAGATGGCTGTGGGCGCTGCTGTATCTGCTTCCCCGTTTGTTTAGGAGACGGGGCGAGGACTGAGCCGGACCCCAGCTCCGCTCCACTGGCAGGACATGGCACAGCCCCAGCCGCCCTCAGGTCTGAGCCCCTAGAGCGACAAGCAGAGGCAGAGCCAGGCTGTGTGCGGCTTTCTCTTTTGCTAGCACAACTTCCTCTTCAGCTTCCTGACTGAGCACCAGGGCAGGACGGAGGTGGGCCAGCCTGGGCCCGGCCCGGAAAGGCCCACACGGCTCTCCTCGGCACCCGGCACCTCAGAGCCACCATGAGCCAGCCCCGACACCGTGGCCCAGAGGAGGCTGCTCCAGAGACCCTCCTGGGTGACCTCATCAGCTACTACCAAGAGGAGGCAGGGGCCGGCCGGCTCCGGGTCTGCAGGCAAGCGGCCCTCACCCACAGAGCCCAGCAGCTCTCGGACACAGGGGCCCCCCCTCAGTTCTATCTGACTGAACTTGAGGCCCCCAATCTAGGGGCCACTCACTCCCAGGGGGCACCCAGCCCTACCCAGCCTGTCTGCCAAGAACTGGTGCAGGCACTAGAGTTCTTGGAGCTTATATCTGTCAACCTACTTCTGTTTCCCTGGAGGAAGGAAATCAGGTCCCTGAAGGTAGGCACCACCATGCCTCTGAGCAAGGGGGCTCGGGTTGGAACCAGAGCTCTGCCTTGGGCGGGGGGTGGGGGGGACAGCGTGCCCATCATGCCCACTGACTTTAGTTCCGTTTTATAGTTGGATAAACTGAGAGCCAAAGAAGTTAATGCAAGTTACCTACGGTCACCAGCTAATAAGTAGAAGAGACAGGCCTCAAACTCGGGCAATGCACCTTCAAACCGCTAGAGTCTTCTACCTCTCTAAAGACGAGGAACCAAGGAGCTCATAATAAACAAGGGAAGGAGGCTAGATTTGGAAAGTTTTAATCTCTTCTGGCTCCAGGCCAGGACTCTTGGGTTGGGAGTCAGGATATCAGAGCCTCACCCTAGCTCAATCTCTTGCTATGTGACCTGCGACAGGTCCTGTCTTGTCTCTTGGCCTCCATGTGCCCTTCTGTAAAATGGGACAAAGGATAACATGATCATGGACCAGATGCCCCAGTGGCCAAATGCTCCAGTCCAAATGCTTCTCAGGAGCTTCCAGTCCCACCTCCCCC